AACAGACAATCTGAATTGCTCATATGCAAGTTCAAGTTGAAGCCAAAGGAAATTAAAACAAGTCCCAGAGAGCCAAAATACGACCTTGATTATATCCTTCCTGAATTTAGAGACCAGCTGAAGAATAGATTTGATGCATTGAAGACCACATGAGTTGTGGGATAACATGAAGAACATCATACATGAAGAAAGCAAAAGGTCATTAAAAGGAGAGGAAAGGAAGAAAAGTCAAAAATGGATGTCAGAAGAGACTCCAAAATTTGCTCTTGAACAGAGAGCAGCTAAGGCAAATGGAAGAAATGACGATAAAAGAGCTAAACAGAATATTTCTAAGAGCAGCTCAAGAAGACAAAGTCAATTAGTATAATGAAATATGCAAAGATCTGGAGTTAGAAAACCAAAATAGAAAAACACACTCGGCATTTCTCAGTCTGAAAGAACTGAAGAAAAAATGCAAGCCTTCAGTTGTGTTATTGAAGTTGCTATTGAAACATATCAAGTATTGTGAGGATGGTGCAGGGCTGGGCAGTGTTTTGTTCTGTTGTGCATAGGGTTGTTATGAGTCAGAAACGACTCAGTGGCACCCAGTGACAACAACATTGATGGATTCTGTGGGCAAAAATACTGAATGATGCAGGAAGTATCAAGAAAAGATAAAAGGAAAACAGACACTGTACCAGAAAGAATTGTCGTACATTCAGCTATTTCAAAAGTTGGTTTATGATCCAGAACCAATGGTATTGAAGGAAGAAGTCCAAGCTGCACTGAAAGAATTGGCAAAGAACAAGGCTCCAGGAATTGACAGAATACCCTATGAAATGTTTCAGCAAACAGAGCTCTGAGGTGCACAGTCATTTATGCCAAGGAATTTGGAAGACAGCTACCTGACCATCTGACTAGAAGAGACCCATATTTGTGCCCATAGCAAAGGAAAGTGATCCAAGAGAATGTGGAAATTGTCAAACAGTATCATTAATACTAATATTAATTAGTAATATTATTACAATATTAATATATTAATATGGATTTCGTCTCAATATAAAGAAAAGAAAAATCCTTGCAGCTGGACCAATGAGCAGCATCACAATAAATGGAGAAAAGATTGAAGTTGTCAAAGAATTCACATAGCTTGGTTCTACAGTCGATGCCAATGGAAGCAGCAGTCAGGTCATCAGATGACATGTAGCATTGGGAAGGTTAACCACGAAGGAACTGTTTCAAGTGCTGAGGAGCAAGGATGTCTCCTTGAGGACTAAGGTGCGCCTGACACAAGCCATGATTCCAGTCACCTTGTATGCATGTGAGAACTGGACAATGAGTAAGGAAGACTGAAGAAGAATTGATGCTCTTGAGTTGTGGTGCTGGCGAAGAATGCTGAAAGTACCGTGGACTGCTAAAAGAATTAATAGACCTGTCCTGGAGGAAGTGCACCCGAAATGCTCCTTGGAAGTGAGAATGGCCAGACTTCATCTCACCTATTTTGGTCATGTTCCCTGGAGAAGGATGTCATGCTTGGTAGGGTGGAGGGTTGACGAAAGAGGAGGAGGCCTTCAACAAGATGGATTGACATGGTGGCTGCAATGACGGGCTCAAGTATAGCAAGGATCGTGGAGCTGGTGCGGGATCGGTGGTGTTTCGTTCTGCTGTGCATGGGGTCACTATGAGTCAGAAACAACTCAACAGCATCTAACAACAACAACAACATCATTAATATCACACACAAGTAAAATTTTGCTGAAGATAATTCTAAAGCAGTTGCAGCAGTATATATACACAAAACTGCCAGAAATTCAAGCTTTTAAGACCACAGGCACTATGCAGCAAACTAGGGAAGAATAAAACCAAAAAAAAAAAGAAAAAAAACTCACTGCCATTGAATCATTACTGATGACATTCCAGCCCCCATTTGGTTTCCAAGGCTGTAAATCTTTATGGAAGTAGATCTCCCCATCTTCCTTCCGTGGAGCGGTTGGTGGGTTTGAACTTCTTATTTTCCAGTTAGCAGTACACCAGAGCTCCATAATAGGTAGTATTTTAAAAAAAAAAATCCTCACTGCCATCAAGTCAGATCCAACTCATAGTGACCCCTCCTAGGGTTTTCCAGACGGTATCACTACAGAAGTAGATTGCCCAACCTCCCTTCCGAGGAGTGGCTGGTGGGTTTGAACCTCCAGACTCTGGTTAGCAGTCAAGTGCCTTAGGCACTATGCCACCAGAGCTCACAATGGGTAGTATAGAAGCACTAAAACATTATTAGGTCAGATAACTGGGATGTCCTTTGAAACCATGACCATAAACATCCAGACCACAGAAGCAAATCCCATGAGGCTTTTGGTTATACATAACAAATAGCATCAAGAGCTACTCCTTTTTTTTCCTTTGCTATTTTAAGTATCACACAACTTTTACCAATTCAACTTTTTACACATGTACAATTTGGCAGCAGTTAAGTGACTGTGCAAACCTACCTTTAATCAATGAGATTTTTTCCATCATTGTAAACCATACCTCAGTACATAAACAGTAACCCCATCTTCCCCCTCTCACCTTTATAATCACTAATAAACTTTTGTCTCTATATTGTAATTTACTTGTTCTTATCTATTTATCAGTGAAGTCATACTTCTTTAAATATGAAATATTTGTCCTTTTGTGACTGACTTATTTCACTCAGCATAATGTCTTCCAGTTCCATCCATATTGTGTGTATCAAGATTTCATTTCTCTTATTGGCTGAGTGGTTTTCCATTGTTTTTAATTTTTGTGAATGACAGTTGAAATGAATTCCACACCCACAGTTGAAACATAGATGCTAATCTAAGAGTTACATATTTCTACCCAACCTTGTTTACCTTTGTTCTAATTAAAGTGTCTTATTTTCAGAATTTGCCCTTGAACATTCATCACACTAAAGCTATTATCCATAACCCTTCCCTATGTGTAGACAAGAATGTGTGTAATAGGAAGTTAAGGGGACAGGATAAAAGCTAGAGAATAGTGAAACATAGATTTGTGTTAGGTTTTTATGTTGATACGGAATGTATACTACCCTAGTGAATATGAGACAAAGCTTTGGAGTGAGGTAGACTTCTTAAGTTAAAATCTGATCCTTATCACTCTGTAGATAGACAATCCAGGCAATTTACTGAACTTCAGGTTAGTTTTATCTGGTAAAATGATAATAGCTACTACTTTGTAGGATGATTTAAGAGTTAAATGAGGTGATATCTGTGTATATCTGTGTAATAGGTACTCTGCAGATGATAACTGCTGTTAGCTTTTAAGCAGTCACACTTTCCAAAAACTATTGTTTTCATTCTTTGTGTACTTCATGTTATCTTCCAAACCAACCATTCCCAGAGACTATAGTCTTTATTCGTTTCCAAATTATAAGATTTTTAACACTTGTGTGTTGCTTTCTACATACTGATGTTCATTTAAGTGTAACAAATTTACATTTATACAGTCACGCATCGTTTAACATCCACAATACATTCTGTGAAATAGAATGTAATGTGATTTGGATGCTGTGAAAACACCATGGATTATGAATAAGTTTCATTCCTAAATCTATTGTTAACACAAATTTGTGTGCAAGTCGGAACAGTTAGGTATTGTTGTTGTTGTTGTTAGGTGCTGTCGAGTCGTTTCCAACTCAAGGCGACCCCATGCACAGCAGAACGAAACACTGCCCAATCCCGCGCCAGCTCCACTATCCCTGGTATACTTGAGCCCATCATCACAGCCACTGTATCAAATGTCATTTTGTCATGTATTTGTTTTAGTATATAGTGTACTTTCTATGCATAAAAACACATTAAAAAAATACGTCCAAATACACTGAAACATCTTTAACATAATAATGTTTTGATGCACATCTCAAAGTAGTTTCCACTTGTTAGTACAAACAATTGTATGTACCTCAAATTTTTTACAGAGATTGAGACCACGGACGTACATGTGGTCAGACATTGCCTGAATGGATATTAATATGGCACATGATTACATAATACACAGATAAACACACACATATATACACATTCTACAGTTATACATATCACTGTCAGGGAGTAGTTGGAAGGGATTCAGAAAGTGCTTATTTAGCCACCCTGACAAAATAGCAAATTATGTTTGGTTTTTCTCCTATGACTAGCTTTTTTTTGAAGTTACTTAATATGCTAAATATCAGATCAGTACAATATAATTTTCTAATATAAATACAGTAAAATGTGTGAAAGCTGGAACCTTTATAAGGTAGGAACCTTTCTAAGAAGGAAGACCAAATATTTTCCAAAAGAGTGCAGTAGAAAAGTGGTAAGACTACACTCTAAAGCAGAAAACTTGTGACACCCAGATAAACCATACATCCTTTATGAGTTCTGACTCACAGGTTTCACTGTATTTGCAATAATATATATTATAGTTAATAATGCTGATCATTTGTAGAATTAGTTATGTTACATTATGGAAGGTTGGGCAATCTACTTCCGTAGTGATTCCACCTCGGAAACCCAAGGAGGGGTCGCTATGAGTCAGGTCCGACTCAAAGGCACATAACAACAACAACATGGTTGTGTATAGCTATTTTAAGGAACTCTGGTGGTATAATGGTTCAGGCATTTGGCTGGCAACCAAAAGGTCAATGATTTGAACCCATCAGCTGCTACATGGAAGAAAGATGAGGCATTCTGCTTCTCTAAAGATTTACGTCCTTGGAAACCCAATGTGGATCACTATGAATCAGATTCAGTTGTAGTGAGTAAGGCTTTTGTAGCTTTTGTCATTCTTACTACTACAGGAAATCAACAAATTCAGAATAAAGTTTGAAATTTAAAGAAGAAAATGTATTATATTTTGGGTTTATTAATTAGGTATAACTAGCTGGTAATAATAATTTAAAAGATAAATCTAGACCAGTTTTTGTTTGAACTGTAAACCTAAATGTCAGAAAACTAATAGAAGACTATATCTATAATATGTGGTAACTCTCTCTTTACCAGTTTGTCACTCAAGCCCTATCAGAAGGTTGGTTTGAATTGGCTGGCATTGGTACATAAACATGGACTTAATGGCATTTTGGCAGATGAAATGGTAAGTAGTACTCTGTTTCTAGGATTTGATATTTCATTAAAAGACGCTTTAGATTTAGCATCTTTGCTCTTTATTAAAACACAGAGTTTTTCCTTGCCATTGTAGTTTACTGCTTTCATTTAAGTAAAACTTTAACTTTTTATTGTGATTTAAGTGCAGTTTTACAAAGGAGATTCATTTTACCTTCAGCAGTTCATAAATATTTTCTTTCATGACACTGATTACAATCCCAAACTCCTTTTTTCTATTGCCTGTCTTAGTTCTATCCTCTTCACTTGTCTCTAAATGGGAAAATAGATTTGTTGTCTTTCTTATTATCAAATTAATAAATGTATGTGTTAAAGATTTAGACACTATATAGAGATACAAAGAAAATATCAGAATTACTCATAATCCTACCACCTGGAAGTAAATTCTCTTTTGCTGTATTAGCTTTCTAGATATTTTCCTCTGCATATTTGAAATGGGCTTTCTGTGCCTTTTCCACAGACATGCCATGGATCATAATCCACATGAAGCCTTCTCTATTACTGAGCTCACAGTTACAGATTTGAATTGTGTTATGGATTGAATTGTGTTTCCCAAAAATATGTTGTCTAAATCCTAACCCCTATAGTGATTATATTCCCATTTGGGAATGGATTTTCTTTGTTATGGTAATGAGTATTAGCATAGAGTGTGTCTTAAGTCAGTCTCTTTTGATGGTAGAGCAGATGAATTATGAAATCTCAGTTGGAGGAACATAGATGCTATGCCAAATGAGATCTATAAAATATTATATGGGATTTTAATACATGTGCTTTTCTGTAGCAGGTCATTACATTTTAATTTATGATAGATACCTGTTTTTGCAATATTGAAAGCTCCTGTGTACAAATTCAACAACACAGGAAGCATCAAAAGACAATAGGAATAAACAGAAACACTGTATCAGAAAGAATTGGTCGACGTTCAGCTGTTTCAGAAGGTAGCATCTGAACAACAGGGGATGGTACTGAGGAAGTAGTCCAGGATGCAGTGAAAGCATGGGTAAAAGCAAGCTCTGAGAAGTGACAGAAAAACAAATAAGATATTTCAACAAATGGATGCAATCAGCTAGAACCGTTCAGTTGTCTATGCCAAGAAATTTGGAAGACAGCTACCTGGCCAACCAACTGGAAGAGGTCTGTATGTGTGCGCATTCCAGAAAAAGGTGATCCAACAGAATGTGGAAGTTACTGAACAATATAATTAATATCATATATCTTGCTGAAGATAACTTGAAAGTGGCTGCGACAACGTATTGACAGGGAACTGCCACAAATACAAGCCAAATTCAGAAGAGGACGTAGAACGAGGGATATCATTGCTCATGTTAGATGGATCTTGGCTGAGAGAAGAGAATATGAGAAAGATGTTTACCTGTGTTTTATTAACTGTGCAAGGGCTTTTGACTGTGTGGATCATAACAAATTATGGGTAACAATGCAAAGAATGGGAATTCCAAACCAGTTCATTGTGCTCACAGGGAACCCGTACATAGACCAAGAGGCAGTCATTTGAACAAAACAAGGAGAATACTCTCTGATTTAAAATCAGGAAAAGTGTGCATCAGGATTGTATCTTTTCACTGTATTTATTCAATCTGTATGCTGAGCACATTATCCAAAAATCTAGACTTTGTGGCATCAGGATTGGAGAAAGACTTGTTACAAACCTGTGACGTGCAGAGGACACAAGTTTGCTGAAAGCAAAGAGGACTTTAAGCACTTACTGATAAAGATCAAAGACTATAGCCTTCAAAATGGATTACACCTCAACATAAAGAAAATCTCACAACTGGATGAATAATCAACATCATGATAAATAGAGAAAAGTTTGAAGTTGACAGGGCTTTCATTTTACTTGGATCTACAGTCAGCACCCACTGAAGGAGCAGTCAAGAAATCAGATGTCATATTGCATTGGAGAAGTCTGCAAAAGACTTCTTTAAAGTGTTAAAAACCAGAGATACCACCTTAAAGACTATGATGTGCCCGACACAAGCTATGATATTTTCTCTCACTTCTTATGCATACTGTGGATACGATGGACTGCCAGAAGAGTGAACAAATCTATCCTGGAAGAAGTGCAGCCGGAATGCTCCTTGTAATTGAGAGTGGCCAGACTTCATGTCAGTTACTTAGGTCATGTTGTCAGAACAAGACCATTCTCTGGAGAAGGATGCCATCCATGCTTGGTAAAGTAGAAGGTCAGAGAAGAAGGGGAAAACCCTCAATGAGATAGATTGACAGTGGTTGCAGCAGTGGGCTCAAGCATAGCAGAGATCGTGTATATCATATGACTACCACCCAAATCAAAATAAGAAACATGCCATTATCCTAGAACATTTCTTTATGCCACTTTCCAGTTAACACCACCCCAATTTTGACTCCCACCATGATAATTCATTGTTTCTAGTTTTAAACTTCATATAAATGAAATAAAACAGTATATACTATTTGTTTCTAGTTTGTTTAGTATAGCATAGTGTTGCTGAGATTTATTTGTGTTCTTAAATGTAATAATAGTTTGTTTTCTTTTTTTGTTGTGATGTAATATGCATAGTATCTCCGGGTGGTACAAAGTGTTAATGTGCTTATCTGCTAACCAAAAAGTTTCAGGTCCGTCCACCCAAAGGCTCCTAAGAAGAAGGCCCTAGCAGTGTGCTTCTGGAAGGTCACAGCCTTGAATACCCTATGGAGTAAAGTCCTCCTTTGACACACATGAGTTTGCCATGAGTCAGAATTGATTTCCCAGCAATTAGTGTGGTATTTTTTTGGATATACTTAGTATAAATATGCCACAGTTTATCCATTTTCCTATTGATGGATATGTGGGTTTTTTCCATTGTGTAACTAGTATTTTAAAACAATTATGAACATTCTTATGCACATCTTTTTTTGTTGACATTTGCTCTCATACTTTTTTATTGTATTCTTAGGATTGGAATTGCTGGGTAATAGGGTAGGCATGTTTAACTCCAAGTTGTCATGGGAACGGGAACATTTTCCTAAATCCATCCCCCCAAAAAAAACTCACTGCCGTGTGACCCCTCCTTGAATTTCCGAGGCAATATCACTACAGAAGTAGATTGCCCAATCTTCCTTCCGAGGAGTGTCTGGTGGGTTTGAACCACCAGCCTTCTGGTTAGCAGTCAAATCCAGTGTATATTAAGTATTTGCTACATTTAAACAATAACCAAGATTATATACCTCTGGTGCTGTAGCACCTAAGGCATATGACTGCTAACCAGAAGGCTGGTGGTTCAAACCCACCAGCCACTACTTGGAAGGAAGATTGAGCAATCTACTTTTGCAGAGATACCGCCTTGGAAACCCAAGGAGGGGTCACTATGAGTCGAATCAACTCGACGGCAGTGAGTTTGGTGTGTGTGTGTGTGTGTGTTTTAAATATATACAGTACAAAAAGACATCCATACTAATGTGTGTCACATATGAACTAGCAGTTAAGATTCATCCTACTCACTAAAGTAAGTTGCAGGATCAATTTGGATATTATGATCAGTTATGTGTAATTAAGAACTAAGAACAAAGTAGTTCTTTTAAAGTTATGTTATAGGGAATCAAAAATGAATAAAATACAGTAATAATCCTTTTACCTTTGTATTTCCAGTATATCTTTGTTTCTTGTTTATTTTTAAATTTCATACATTGTCTTTTAAACTTTTAATTTTAGGGCCTAGGAAAAACTATTCAAGCTATTGCATTCCTGGCATACCTCTATCAGGAGGGTAACAAAGGTCCTCATTTGATTGTTGTTCCAGCATCAACTATAGGTTTGTAATACTGGAGAAAATCATATTTGACTTGATAATGTTTTATATAGGCTAGATTTATGAAACACTCTGTGTTTGTGTAGTTTCTTAAGTTTAATGGTTTGTGGAGTTGAATATTAATTTTTATGATATGCTTTTTTCCTGCTTTGTGTATGAATATATATGGTGTGTTGGATTGTATTGACAGTTTTCAAAAAGAAAATAAGTCTTGATAAAACGGTTTCATTGTTAGAGATCAGGAAATATTTCATAAGATCACTTACTATGTTTTCATAATGTATTGATTGTAGAGTGACTATTTTAACAGAAAATAGGTAGTTTTTCATCTATAACTGAACATTTATTAGTCAGAAAGTATGTAATTAATCCCTACTGAAATTGCTGTTTCATTCATTCTTCATTGAATGTAGAGATTAGAATAACAGAATAGCTGTACTTACAAATCTAAGAAAAAATCATTTATTTAAATCAGAAATTAATAGTTACCTGTAGATATAAAGGTTGGTCTTCTGCCCTTCATTTTGGTGTCTGATAAAACCTTGGAATCATTTTATTCATCATGAGTAAGAGATTGTGAACAGGGTCTGAGATAAAAATCATCCTGTGTTTTTCATCTTATAAAAGAATAATTTCCAAGTAGAGCTTGCTTATTTCACTGTACACACATACTGTATTATAGCATATGCAAGTAATATCTCTTTTGTTTCATAGATAACTGGTTAAGGGAAGTTAATTTATGGTGCCCCACTTTAAACGTGCTATGTTACTATGGTAAGAATATGCATATTTCTTTTCACTTTGGAATTGTTGTTAAAACCCTAGCACATAGTAAAGTACAATAAATACAACCAATATGTTTCTGTTGTTTTCAAATTCTAGGTTCTCAAGAAGAACGTAAACAAATTAGATACAACATTCATAGTCGATATGAAGAGTATAATGTAATTGTGACCACGTAAGTGTTAAAAATATTTTCTTTGATGGAAAGAAATTGTACAATTCCGAATTTTTTAAAATGGCATTTTATAATAGTGATATGCAGGAAAGTTGATAGAAGTAATGCAGCAGCAAAAGTAATGGAATGATTTATATTGAAGACTCAGGCAGTTTTTTGGTTTGGTTAAGAGGTTTTGCCTAGTACGTTAGGTGACTGACAATGGGTATCAACAGGTTCTATCCACTTGATTGAAAACATAGTCTAAGCTTAAAGTAAAATATAAGATATCACGCAAAAATGGTTTTTAATATCGCTAACTTACAAATAATCATTAAAATAAATGAAATTATATTCTTCCAATAAAAAATTTTAGTTAGCCTACAAAGAAGACTGAAAAATATAATTTTGAGTAAATTAACTGCTACTATTTTTTTTTAAATATCTGGTAGAGACCTTACTGCTTTTATGTTGTCTTTTTTATATAGGTTATTTCAAGGCCATATTAACTGTCAATATTGGTTATTATTGCTCACCACTAGCTCTTTCTGTCTGAGCTCATCCTTAAAAGAATTCACCCAAAAGTCATCTTTTCTTTATAAAATAGACTCAATTTTTATATGTAATATCAAGTAGCTATCAACTATTATTCTTGAATGTACTCTACTAGTAAGATGTAAGGTGTTAGGTTCTAAGTATAAATATTTCTTAGATTTATGTCCTATTTTACTGCTTCTTAAAATATAACAATACAGGATGGAAATTATGTAACAACTGCAGGTTACATGTTAAATTATCCTCCAATTGGCCACTTCCCAAATATATAGAAATTACCTGATTGTAACATTAAATTTTTTTTTAAATTGTGATTTGGGTGAAAATTTACAGAGCAAATTTACTCTCCATACAGCAGTTCACATACACTTTGTCTCATGACATTGACTACAATTTACCCCAATGCAACATCTCCCCTCCCACTTCCTCCCAGTAGTTACCTCTTCCCTGTGTCCATCACTCCATGTACTCCTGTCCCCTGTCTCCTGTCTCTCTGTGCATAAACAACCCTTCTTTCTCCCATGATTGATCTCTCCAAGGAGTATATCTAACTCAGGTAAATGTTCAGCTCATATGCCTATCTTTTGTTTGGCTGGAAGCCAGAGGTGTGTGTTCAGTTCCAGACCTGAAGGGCAGCTAAGGGCCATAGTCTCGGGTTCCACCAAGATCTATCAGACCAGCAAACCTGGTTCCCTTTTTTTTTCCCCAAAAATGATTTTGAGTTTTGTTCCACATTGTTCTCCCTCTCTACTCAGGATCTCCTATGTAGATCCCCCTCTGAGTGGTTGACAGTGGTAGCCAGGCACCATCTAGTTGTTCTGGTCTCATAGTCGTACAGGCTTTGGGTTGCATGGTGTACCAGTCGCTAGGACTAATTCTTAACATGATACTTTCGTTTTCTTCATTCTTCTTTGCTCTGGACGAGGAAAGACCCATCGTTGCATCTAGTTGGCTGCTTGCAAGCTTTTAAGATCCCAGTCGCTACTTATCAAAGTAGAATGTGGAACACTGTTTCGTGTAGTATGTTAGACCAATTAAGCTTGATGTCCCCTGCGACTATGGTCCCAAGCCCGCAGGTTCAACTACTCGGTCACTCTGAGTAGCTAGTTTTGACCAAGAGGTGACTACAACCTTGTCCCTTGTCAGCTCAACTTTATACCTGGGAATTCTTATAGATCATACAAATACACTTCTAAGATCATTGTCTGCCATCCCTATACATGATCTTGGGTACTCTCCCCACTTTATAGACATATCTAGTAGTTCAGCCTGTCCACCCATCTATCCACCCACATACCATGTTTGCCTTCACTGACAATGCAGTGCTGAATGTGCAGAAGGGTCCATCTTTGTTGTCTGTACCTCCCATGTACCTCTCTATGTCTTTCTCTTCCTCAGTGCCACCATGTTGATCACTCACATTTGGTACACTGCCTTTCTCTTCACCCAAATCAATACTTATCTCTACCTATGTAACAGTGTTCCTTCCCCACCCCTCCCACCCCTGTTAACCAACAAAGAAAATTGCCTTCTATGGATAAACCTTTCCTTGCCTTTTACAGTAACGGACTAATACAATATTTGTCCTTCTGTGATTGACTTATGTTTTGCAGATTTTACGTTATTCTTTAGGGTTGCATAGTATTCCATTGTGTGTATGTACCAAAGTTTGGTTATCCATTCCTCAGTTGATGGGCACCTAGGTGGTTTCCATCTTTTGGCTATTGTAAATAGTGCTGCAGTGAACATGGTTTTGCATATGTCTGTTCTTGCCATGGTTCCCACTTCTTTAGGATATATATCTAGTAATGGAATGGCTGGAACATTTAAATTTTATTTTAATTCCAGATTGCTGTTTCATTACTTGGTTACATGTACATCAGTAATTATTTGAGCATCAACTGTGTCTAGTTCTACTCTCTTGGTACTGGCTGTTAGGAGTGAGTATAGAAAATAAATCTTAAAAAACCACTAAATCTCACTAGCCTCAAAGGTTGAAAGTTGTAATCTTACAGAGGTTTTTTTTTTCCCCTTTTGGTAATAGGTATAATTGTGCAATCAGCAGTTCTGATGACCGTAGTTTGTTTCGACGGCTAAAACTTAATTATGCAATTTTTGATGAGGGCCATATGCTGAAGAATATGGGCTCCATCCGCTACCAGCACCTTATGACAATTAATGTAAGAGAATATTTTTAGAAATTTTTCTGAATTACAAAATTTAGGTTATGTAAATAATGTATATATCATTCGATATCAGAGATCAGCAAACTTTCTCTATAAAGAACACTGTATAAATATTTCATATTTTATAGGATGATGGTCTCTGTCACATGTTCTTTGTGGTTTTTTTGTAACTCTTTTAACATACAAAATCCTTTCCTACTTCATAAGCCATAATTTGGCAACCCTTGTTCTGTATGATAAACTTTATGAGCATCACATATAGCTTATCTTCTGTCATTACATCATAAAAGTGAAATGAAAACATAAATTAACTACTTATAAAGTGAAAAATCAATAGCTTTACACATTTTATCTTAAGTACAGTAGATGATAATAGCAGATAACAATTGTCTAAATTCTTACTAGTCTTCTGTCACTAAATGGTAAATTATTAATAATTATTTGCACTGTGGAGGGTGGACAAGAAGGAAGTGGCTCATTAAAAAAAAAAAAAAAAAAGCTAACCTAAATTTTACCCTTCATTTACAGGCAAATAACCGTTTGCTGCTCACAGGCACACCTGTACAGAATAATCTGTTAGAACTCATGTCTCTGTTGAATTTTGTTATGCCACACATGTTTAGTAGTAGCACCAGTGAAATACGAAGAATGTTTTCTTCTAAGACAGTAAGCATAAATGCATATTTTCTGCAAAATATATTACATTGTATTTTTCCTGGACCTTTTTTTGTTTTTGTTTGCGTTGATGGTATATATGTTCTATAAAGTAAATGTTATTAGTTGATATTTTTATACTTGGATGAGTTGGGAAGCTGGCCAAAATATAATGAGAAAAAATTTTGATGACTTCTGTAATCAATGTCTAATAGTTTTGGTTTTTGGTATCTTGATTTTGGAAGAGTGATCATTTTTCATTGGCAAAGTATGCCAGTGTGTTGTCTATGGGGAAAGTTTGATTGTTGTATCTTCTTTATTAAAATGACCGGTAAATTAGCATCATTTCTTTATTAACAAACTAGAGAACCAAGCAAAGCTAGAATATCCAGGAAAGATATCTCAGCAATTCCTTCAGTGCAGCTTCAGCTTCTTCCTTTAGTACCATCATTTCTTGATCATAAGCCACTTCCTGTGATGGATGAACATCGACCAGTTCTTTTTGGTACAGTGCCTGTCTATTCTTTCCATCTTCTTTTCATGTTTCCTGCATCATTCAGTATTTTGCCCATAGAATCTTTCAATATATGGCAACTTAAGGCTTGGATTTTTTTCTTCAGTTCTTTCAGCTTGAGAAATCCCAAGCATATTCTTCCCTTTTTGTTTTCTAACTCCAGATCTTTGCACATTTCATTATTATAATTGACTTTGTATTCTCAAGCTGCTCTTTTAAATCTTGTATTCAGATCTTTTATCTTGTCATTTCTTCCATTTGCCCTAGCTGCTCTCCATTCAATAGCATGTTTCAGTGTCTTCTGACATCCATTTTGTCTTTTCTTTCTTTCCTATCTTTTTAATAACCTTTTGCTTTCTTCATGGATGATGTTCTTGATGTCATCCATAGTTCATCTGGTTTTTAGTCATTCGTGTTCAATGCAGCAAATCTGTTCTTCAGATGGTCTCTAAATTCAGGTGGGGTATAATCAAGGTCACATTTTGACTCTTGTGGACTTGTTTCAGTTATCTTCAGCTTCAGCTTGAACTTGCATATGAGTAGTTGATGGTCAGTTCCACAGTCAGCTCCTGGCCTTGTTTTGCCTGCAGATATTAAACATCTCCATCGCCTCTGTCCACAGATGTACTCAGTGTTCAACATCGGATTCAACCCATTGAGATGTTTCAACAAACGGATGCTGCACTGAAGGTACTTAACTCATTAATGCCAAGAAATTTGGAAGACAGCTACATGGCCAACTGACCCAGGGATCCATATTTGTATCCATTCCCAAGAAAGGTGATCCAACAGAATATGGAAATTATCAAACAATATCATTAATACCACATGCAAGTAACATTTTGCTGAAGATAATTCAAAAATGGTTGCAGCAGTTATAGTGACAGAGAACTTCCAGAAATGCAAGCTGGATTCAGAACAGGACATGATACAAGGCTATCATTGATGATGTCAGAGGGATCTTGTCTGAAACAAAGAATACCAGAAAGATGTTTACTTAGTTTAACTGACTATGCAAAAGGATTTGATTGTGTGGATCATAACAAATTATGGATAACACTGAAAAGAATAAGAATTCCAGAACACTTAATTGTACTCATGCAAGGGGATACTGCATGGTTTAAAATCAGAAAGGCAGTATGTCAGGGTTGTATCCTTTCACCATACTTATTCAGTCTGTATGCAGAGCAGATAATTCGAGAAGTTGCACTATTATGAAAAAGAACATGACATCAAGATTGGAGGAAGAGTCATTAACCTTGCTTGCTGAAAGTGAAGAAGACTTAAAGTACTTACTTACTGAAGAAGATTAAACACTGCAGTCTGCAGTATGGATTGTACCTCAACATAACACAGAAATCCTCACGACTGGCCCAATAAGCAGCATCACAATTAATGGAGAAAAGATTGAAGTTGTCAAAGATTTCATGTTACTTGCATCCACAAACAACACAAATGGAAGCAGCTGTCAAGAAATCAGATGACATATTGCACTGGGCAAATGTGCTGCAAAAGACCTTTAAAGTGTTGAAGACCAAAAATGTCACTTTGAAGACTAAGGTGCGCCTAACCCATGCCATGGTGTTTTCATTCACCTCATGTGCGTGTGAAAGCTGAACAATGAAGAAAGAAGACCAAAGAAGAGTTGATGCCTTTGAGTTGTGGTGTTGGTGAAGAATACTGAAAGTACCATGGACTGTCAAAAGAATAAACAAATCAGTCCTGGAAGAAGTATAGCTGGAATGCTCCTTGCAAGCAAGAATGGCCAGAGTTCCTCGCACCTCCTTTGGTCATGTTGGCAGAAGGGACCATTCCCTGGAGGAGGATATCATGCTTGATAAAGTGGATGATCAGTGAAAAAGGGGAAGGTTCTCAACGACATGGACTGATACAGTGGCTACAATGATGGGCTTAGGTATAGCAAGGATTGTGAGACTGAACCAGGACCAGGCAGTGTTTTGTTCTGTTGTACACAGTGTCGCTATAAGTTGTAGCTGACTCGATGCACCTAAGAACAATGCGAACAAAAGGAATGATTCTAAAAATAACAACAAAGATACACTATTTAGAAGAAAAGTTTAATTTTTTCTGTCACTTAGAAAAAAACACAGTAAAGTCTTCAAGAACCCCCATATTGTTCAGTATAGTAATTGAGGTTCTGTACTCTCTCATGAATCAAATATCATTTGTAAAAATTTTCTCGTATTCTTTACACTGCAAATTAACTGCCTTTTTAACTTTCAATGTCTTTCCTCCCATTGGATTTGTAGTTTTTGACATGGCCTAGCAAGTTTCATGAACTACATTTTTCTAGTTTTGTTCATAGTATATAGAGGATTCCTTCACATCTTAGAATAAAATTCCATTTTCTAATTTTCCAAAATAGTGATTTCTGACTAGGAACTATTCCCCCTTTTTAGACCACATTATTTGCATTGTCCACATTAGTTTTCTTTTGGGGGCCATCTTCCACAAAGAAACAGGTTTCTACAACACGCACAAGTTATTTATCTGGGTAATCAGTTAATGACTCATCAGTTAATGACTCAACTCCAACCTCAACCTTCCAAGAAGTGGATGGTGGGTTTGAACCGCCACCCTTCTGGTTAGCAGTCAAATGCCTTAGGCACTATGCTACCACAGCTCCCAACTCCAACTCAGTACAGTTTAAATCCATTAATTACTTGAGCAGATGTTCATCTAAGGACTTTATCACCAGTGAAGAGACAACCTACAGATTGGAAGAAAATATTTGGGAATGATATATCTGATAAGGGCCCCATATTCAAAATAAAAATTTTAAAAAGAACTACAACATAACAGCCAAAAAATAAACAATCTCATCAAAAAATAGGCAATGGAGTTGAACAGACATTTTACCAAAGACTACATTCAAATGGCCAACATCTTCAAAGATGCTCAGTGTTATTAGCCTCTCGGGAACTGCAAATGAAAACGGTGAGATATCATTTCAGGTGGCATAGTGCCTAAGGCATTTGACTGCTAACCAGAAAGCTGGTGGATCAAACCTACCAACCACTCAGAAGGAAGATTGGGCAATCTACTTCCATAGAAATACCACCTTGGAAACCCAAGGAGGAGGGGTTGCTCTGAGTCAAATCGACTTGACCGCTGTGAGACTTTTAGAATGGCAACAAATAAGAAAATGGAAAAAGCAGTATTGGTGAGAATGTGGTGAAATTGGAACCCTCATCCATTGCTGGTGGGAATGTGAAAGGGTACAGTTACTGTGGAACACTGTGTATTGGTTTCTCGAAAGGTGAATAAGGGACTGCCATATCACCCAGCCATACCAAGAAGTGAAAGCAGGAATGCAAACTGTACACTGATGTTCATTGCGGCATTTTTTCACAACAGCCAAAAAGGTGGAAACAACCAAAATATCCATCAACAACTGGATAAACAGAATGTGATATATCCATACAATGGAATATTACTCAACTATAAAGTGAAATGAAGTCCCAATACGTGTCACAACATGCGTGAACCTTGAAAAGATTGTTTAATTTTGAAATAGTCACAAAAAGACAGCATTTGTAAACTGTCACTTGTGTGAGATGAGCAAATACTTAGAAAACAAATATTAATAGTGGTTACCAGAGATGAAGGGAAGAGTGTTTTCTTAGGAGTCATTGAGTTTATATGTTAATGGTAGAGAAATAACTTAGAAAAGGATAATGATAATTACACAAGATAAAGAGTATAACCAGTGTCACTGAATTGTACAAGTGGAAAAATTTGAAATATAAATGTTTTGGTGTATGTATTTTCACCACAATAAAAAGAAAATTATTAAATAGATTACAGCCTAGAATTCAAATCTAAAATTCTATGTAAAATGAACTGAGTTTCTGTAGAAAATAACGTAGATTCTAGTGAAGAGCATTTTATATTGTATAATACTGTTATTAAAAAATTTAAGTGAATAATTTGTGAGAAGAATGTTTTTATTTTTCATAGAAATCAGCAGATGAGCAAAGTATATATGAAAAGGAGAGAATAGCACATGCAAAACAAATTATAAAGCCATTTATTCTCAGAAGAGTGAAAGAAGAGGTAACTGTTACCTGCATGTTTGGGTTATACATTTATATATGTATTTTTTAAACTATTTTTTCCTCTTTTTTAGAATGGTTATCTGAAACTGTTTTTCTTTCTCAGGTTCTCAAGCAGCTACCTCCCAAGAAAGACCAAATTGAATTGTGTGCAATGTCAGAGAAGCAGGAGCAACTCTATTTGGCTCTTTTCAACAGATTGAAAAAATCTATCAATAACATGGGTATAATTTGATTTTTCAAGTTTTATGTGAAAAATAATCCTGTGTTTCATTTGTTTAGCTTACCTATATGATAATGAGATTTGCTTATTTTTAGAAACTAGTTGGAATTTGATAAGAAATTTTAAGACCACTTTACAGAACACTTAACAGCTTGATTTTTTTTTTTTTAATGCGTACTATTTGGATCACAGAAAAAAACACAGAAATGTGCAATGTCATGATGCAGTTGAGAAAAATGGCCAATCATCCTTTATTACATCGTCAATATTACACAGCTGAAAAACTCAAGGAAATGTCTCAGCTTATGCTAAAGGTGAGGATTTCATACTATATTAATGTTGAACTGTGTTAACACTATTAAAAAGTTAGAAGGTAAAATTGTTAGGCTAAATATAGCCTACCCAAACAAATGTCCTTAGTCCTTTAACCTTATATTTAAGAAAAACATTTTTTAAACAAAATTTAAGACAGATGAGGAGAACAGAAGAGCCAAGCAATAATTAATAGCAAACTGTGGTCTCAGGGCACATCCAGCCTCCCGTTTTTGTAATTTAAATTTTACTGCAGTACAGCCACACCTGCTCTTTATATGTTACCTGTACTGCTTTTTCCTACAATGGCAGATTTTTGTAGTTTCAACAATAATCATCTTGCCAACAAAGCTTACAATGTTTACTATCTGGCTCTTTACAGGAGAAATTTACCAACACCTGATGTCCATAATGCTCTTTTTTTATATCCTAGGTTCTAACGCATAAGTGAAATGCATTATGCAAGTCTAAATATTTATATACTTCCTCCATCCTTCTCCCACTTCACCTTGTCAGATATCTGCTAAATTTCCTCCTGATGTCCCAGACCAGTTGAATTCTTTCCTTATAGTCTATGCCCCTGATTCTCAATCCTTAGCTTTTTGTATATGAATACTCCCATTTCCCGAAAATGCAACATTATCATCCTCCTCCGCATGGTGACTCTTTTTTTTTTTTTTTTTTAATAAAATGATCCTTCAGAGTTTATGTCCTGGGTAGCTAGTGAGTCATTTTTCCCCTCTTCTAATGTTTACTCTCTGCATCACAGAGGAAAAAACAGAAATGTGCAGTGTCATGAGGCATTTGAGAAAAATGGCACTCATCCTTTATTACATCACCAGTATTCTGTATTATATTTTGTTTTTATAGTTTAAGATAGTACCTTCTCTTTTTTGTCTCATTTACCTTAAAGACTTTACCATATTTCTCCTTATAGATCCTTACAGAATTTTGTGTTCAAATTAACCATCTCTTTAAAAAAAAGTTTTTATGTATTATTTCTAATTTGTTATGGAAATTTTCCAACATATAACAGTATAGAGAATTGTTTAATGAATCTCTCTGCCCATATACCATTCACCTAGCTTATTCAGTTATCATCTGATAAGACGCTGTTCTCATTTAATCCATATCCCCAATCTTCTCCCAGAGATTATTTCTAACTAATTTCGAGTTATAGTAGTATTTCATCTATAAATATTTCAGTATATTATCTCTGAAAAGATGAGGACTTTTCTTTTTTCATTATTATACCTAACAATAAATGAATATTAATTTCCTTTCCTGAATCTCTTACACTGAAATGTTCTGTAATTTAGGTATTGTTTTATTGTATTACATCGATTTCATCATATTAAAATTTTCATTTTGAAATTCTTTTTTTTTTGAGGAACCTACACATTGTGAGGCTAATCCTGACCTGATCTTTGAAGATATGGAAGTTATGACAGACTTTGAACTGCATGTACTTTGTAAACAGTATCGGCACATTAATAACTTCCAGTTAGACATGGATCTGATTTTAGATTCTGGAAAATTCCGAGTTTTAGGATGCATCTTGTCTGAATTGAAACAAAAGGTATTAAAGCAGAATGGAACTCTTTATATTTCCCAATTAGTTAAATTTCTTAATTTAGTTTAGAAGTGAAGGTATTTTATACATATATAAGCTAAAATGGGCAATTTATCTTAGCTATCATTACTTGGTTTTTATTAAAGAAACAATTCATCATTAAAAAACCAAATAACCAAACTCACTGCTGTTGAGTCAGTTCTGACTCATAGCAACCCCCCTTGGGTTTCTGAGGCAGTATCTCTTCTGAAGTAGATTGCCTAGTCTTCCTTCCGAGGAGTGGCTTTTGGGTTTGAACCCAGCCTTCTGTTTAGTAGTCAGATGCCTTAGGCACTATGCCACCAGAGCTCCTAATTCATTAGATAATTGTATAATAATTTGCTACCAAATTGTCAGCATGATATGGCTAAAAATTCTAATTGTTTAGATCTATAAGGTGTTTTGAATAGTAGAATAATTTTATTTTTCTGTGTTTCTAATTCATGTATATATTTTCACAGGGCAATAGAGTTGTGTTATTTAGCCAGTTCACCATGATGCTGGATATTTTAGAGGTTCTCTTAAAACATCATCAGCACAGGTATCTCAGATTAGATGGAAAGACTCAGATTTCTGAAAGGTTTGTATGCTTCCCTTTATTTTCAGAAAATCTCTCCCTCCCTTATCCCCAAGTAGTGATCAATGTTAGAATCTAAAATGTATGGATCATTTGTTACATTATTGCTTTCACTCTTCTGTTTGATTACTAATTCAAATCATTTTAAGATGAGGGGAATTTTCTTTTTAATATTTCTGTCTCAAGTGGAAACATTTTGAAAAAGCTGTTAGAATTATATACTTTTTAAACTTTTATAAACTATTGATAGTCTAAAATCATCTTTATCTTTAAATCAGGGTAGTTTTTTTTTCAATTTTTATTGTGATTTTGGTGAAAGTTTACAGAGCAAATTCAGTTTCCATATAGTAGCTCACGTACACTTTGTGCAATTTCTCACAATGCAGCAGCTCTCCTCCCACTTCCTCCCCATAGTTACCTCTTCCCTGTGGCCTTCCCTCCCATGCACTCCTGCCCCCTAAGCTATCTCCCTGTACATAAACAGCCCTTCTATTCTCCCATGATTGATCTCTCTAAGGAGTGTATCTACCTAATGTAAATGTTCAGTTCATATGCCTGTCTTTTCTTTGGCTGGAAGCCACAGGAGTGGGTTAAATTCCAGACCTGAAGGGTAGCTTGGGGCCATATTCTCAGTGGTTCCATCAGGCTCTGTCAGACCAGCAAACCTGGTCTTTTTTTTTTTTTTTCATTTTTTTCAATGAGTTTGAGTTTTGTTCCACATTGTTCTCCCACTCTATCCAGGATCCTTCAGAGATCCCCCTTCTAGTGATTGACTGTGGTAGCCAGGCACCATCTAGTTCTTCTGGACTTATATAGGTTGAGGATCGCATGGTGTACAAGTTGTTTGGACTAATTGTTTCCATGTGTCTTTGGATTCCTTCATTCTTCTTTGCTCTTCAACAAAGATAGTTTTAAGGATCATTAAGTTTAAACCTGAATTTAGTGACCATCTCAAAAACAGATTGATTGGATGCATTGAGTGCTATAACTGAATACTGAATGAGTTGTGGGTTGATATCAAGAACATCATATGTGAAGAAAGTAAAGTGTCATTAAAAAGACAGGAAAAAAAGAAAAGACCAAACTGTATGTCATAGGAGGCTTTGAAGCTAGCTTTTGAACATAGAGTAGTATAGTAAAAGGAAGAAATGACAGAGAACTAAAAACAGAAGGTTTCAAAAGTCAGCCTGAGAATATTATAAAGTATTGTAATGAAATGTGTAAAGACCTGGAGTTAGAAAATAGGGAAGAACATGCTTGACATTTCTCAAACTGAAAGAACTGAAGAGAAAATTTAATTTGCCTCAAGTTGCAGTATTGAGGGTTTCTGTGGGCAAAATACTGAACTATGTAGCAAGCATTGAAAGAAGGTGAAAGGAATATACTGTCCTTGTACCAGAAAGAATTGGTTGACATTCAGCCATTTCAGGAAGTAGAATGTGACCAAGAACCAATAATAATGAAGGAAGAAGTCTAAGCTGCATTGAAGGCATTGGTGATAAACAAGCCTCCTGGAACTGGTATAATACTAATTGAAATGTTTCAGCAAATGGATGCAGTGCTGGGTGTTCTCACTCATCTGTGCCAAGAAATTTGGAAGACAGCTGCCTGACCATTTGACTGGAAGAGATCCGTATATGTGCCCATTCCAAAGAAAGGTGATCCAACAGAAAGAGGAAATTATACAATAATATTATCACACACAAGTATAAGTTTCCTGAAGATAATTAAAATATGGCTGTAGCATAATCCAATCATGTTGCCTGTGACAGTGGCAATCAAGAAATCAAATGATGTATTACCTCAGGCATATGTGCTGCAAAATACCTCTTTAAAGTTCAAGAGCAAAGATGTCACCTTTAAGACTAAGGTGCACCTGACCTAAATAAGCCATAGTATTTTCAGTTGCTTCATATGTATGCAAAAGTTAGACATTGAGTAAGGAAGACTTAAGAAGAATTGATGCTTTTTATTTATGGTGTTGGTGATGAATGTCAAATACACCATGGACTGTGAGAAGAATGAACAAATCTGTCCTGGAGAAAGTACAGCCAAAATGCTTATTACAAACAAGGATGGCGAGACATCTCACACACTTTGAGAGTGTTACCAGGAGAGACCAGTCCTTGGAGAAGGAAGGACATCATGCTTAGTAACATAAGGGATCTAGCAAGAGAACACTCTCAATGGGATTAATTGTCTCAAGGGCTGTAATGGTGGGCTCAAATACAGCAATAATTGTTAGTATGGCACACAACCGAGCAGTGTTTCATTTTGTTGCACATTGGGTCACTATTGAGTCAGAACCAACTTGATGACACCTAACAAGTTTTTATTTTGTTTTGTTTCTTAAATTCCCAAAGATTATATCTTAAGAAACAAAGATCACTTTCTCTGGTGTGGTTAAATGGCACTGTATTTTTGCTGTTTTTTTTTTTTTTTTTCCAATCAGCCAGGTTTTCTTTGTTGTTGTCATTGTTCTTTTTTCATTAGAGTAATTCTAAAAGAGAATACACTCATACAGTTGATCTTGAGGTTCTTGGTTCAGGTGTACCGTCAGCAAGTAACAGCTAGAAAACCTATGAGAATGTTAAAGATTGAAAAAGCCACATGCAGAATTTAGATGAGCCATAAGTCATTAAACAAAGAACAGTCCTTTAGGAATTAGTCAAATCTGAATGGAGTAGGGAAATAGTAGAGAAAGGAAGGTATTGTATAGCTGCAGAAAGCTTCCAGTTTCTTTTCAATGTAATGTGATTATTTTCTATTTTGAATACATTTCACAGTTTGACATTCAAAAAATATTAAAATCTTAACACTTGTGTGCTATACTTTACACAGTTGTTATACTCCAGCAAAGCACAGTGTGGGACAGATGGTTGCAACAGTGGAGTAGTTTTCTCGTGATCCATCCATACTGGCTTATCCACACACATTTAGTGGCCAAAGCTCAGAACTATAATGTTTGTTACTCCAACAGTATAAATACTACATCAGTCACAATTTTTTTCAGATTAATTATATCAATTTAATATTTTATCCAACTCTGGCCAAAAAAAACCATTCATTGGTAATATTTTAAAATTTCATTTTTAGAAAAGTACGTTTTGATGTCTTTGATATATATCTTTAAGTGAGATTTAATGTAATGTATTCTTCTTATAGGATTCATCTAATTGATGAGTTTAATACCGATATGGATATCTTTGTATTTTTGCTGTCAACAAAAGCTGGTGGATTAGGGATAAATCTGACCTCAGCAAATGTTGTTATACTTCATGATATTGATTGTAACCCTTACAACGACAAACAAGCAGAAGATAGATGCCATAGGGTAGGCCAGACTAAGTAAGTATCTTGAGTTGAAATTTCTTTTTAATAAAATGCCAATTATTTTTGTATAGAATGTAGTCTCTTGATAACTTGACTTTGACTTTTTTTTTTTTTTTCAGAAAATCATGACTGCTGATGTTATACACCAGCAGTGCTGAACTTGAACTCCACTTGTAACCTGTTCATTTTTTAGTAATTAAAATAACTTCCCATCCTTTCCCTTAAAAATGTCTAAAGCATACTCCAAATAATTGAAGTATTATCTTTGGTACAGTCCGTTTGAAAAAGTTTAGTAGTTGAAAAGACTTGCTTGCTAGATAGAGCATTTAAAGACCAGACAGACTTGGTAATACACATGGTATTTCTACTGTATTCTCCTTTAGGAAATAGATGATTTGAGTTGTAAATATTTCAGGTGAAGGTTACTCTTGACATTGCTAGCAGAACAATAGAGAGGTAAAAATAACTGCCATTCAATTCTTCTGTCATACGTAACCAATTAACATTTCTTTAATGGAGCATTTTAAATAGTTCTAAAATGACATGGGTATATTCATTTATGGGCCAAATGTTTATTGGTACCTATTATAGAACTAACACTTCTTGTGTATTATTTGTATTTTACTACACTCTCTTTACTTTTTGTACAGAATTACATTTTTGAACCTGATAAGCAGAACATTTTTTAAAAAAAACATGAAATTTCTATTTGAACTCAGAGCTCTCTGTTGTAATGTAGTTTTACTAGTAATTTTTTCATGTACATTTTGTTAAAAATTTTACTTTTTGTTGAGAATAATTCCAACAGTTTATCAATTCACCAGTTCAACAATTTCTGTTTGACCACATCCTTCAAGTTATGCAACATTCTCACCTTTCTTTTCCAAATTGTTCTCCCTTATTAATGGAAACTCACTGTCCTGTAAGCTTCCTATGTAATCTTTCAAATTGCTGTTGTCAGTTTGATCTCCTATGGATAGTTCCTAAAAGAGCACAAGGAGCTCTGGTTTCATAGCATTTAAAGCATCCAGATGCTAACTAAAAGGTTGGCAGTTCAAACCCACCAGATGCTATGCTGAATAAAGATGAGGTAATCTGCATCCATAAAGATGGAGCAGTTCTACTCTGTCCTATAAGGTCACTATGCATCAGAGTCAACTTGATGGCTGTGGATCAGTGGGTCGAAGAGCACACTGTTCAAGGCCAGTGTTCTTTACTAGTTAAGCTAAACTTGTTTGCTTTAAAGACGACTTCTAGGGATGTTTTCAGTTTAAGATTTAAGGTATGAAGATTTTCTCAGGGCAGTAGTTTCAGGGATTCATCCAGCTCTAGATGCTGGATTCCTTGAGAATTTACAATTCTATTCTCTATTTTTCCCTTTTGGTCAGGATTCCTCTATGGAATATTTGATCAGACATTCATTAATGGTAACTTGGCACCATCCAGTTTTTCTGATCTGATGGCAAAGGACGCAATTGTTCGTAGAGACAGTTAGCCACATATTCCATATCCTCCTATTCCTGAATCTCCTTTTATCCTCTTTAGCTCCAGGCAAAAGTTCTACTAAAGATTTTTTAAGTAAAAGTATCTTGTCTTGGATCCATAAGAAAGAGTACTCAGAAGTTGCATGTTCAGAAAATGTCAATCTCAAGTAGTTGGAATAAACAGAGAATTTTAATCTTAGGATATATTGGTCATAAAATGTTTCAAATCCTTATTATTGAATTCTAAGATGATTCATTTTGTTTATATGTATCCAAATACCTTTATGTTAAGTAATCAGTAAACCCTTTTTACTTTGTAGGGAAGTACTAGTTATAAAATTAATAAGCCAAGGAACGATTGAAGAATCCATGCTGAAAATTAACCAACAAAAACTGAAACTAGAACAAGATATGACCACAGTAGATGAAGGTAAGCTGTTTCTAAGCAAAATTTTCAATAACTATGGAGTAGGAGCTCTGGTAGTGTAGTGCCTAAGGCATTTGACTGCTAACCAGAAGGCTGGCGGTTCAAACCCACCAGCCATTCCTTGGAATGAAGGTTGGGCAATCTACTTCTGTAAGGATATTGCCTCAGCAACCCAAGGAGGGGTCACTGTGAGTTGGATCCGACTCCACAGCAGTTCGTTTTTAAGATTTATGAAGTAATATATTAAAAGGCATCAAATTAGCAGTAAAAACACAAAAACTAAACTCCTGCCATCGAGTCAGATCTGACTCATAGTGACCCCTCCTTGGGTTTCTGAGGTGGTATCACTACAGAAATAGATAGCCAAATTAGCAATAGCGAGGGGATAATAAAGATGGTTGGATCCTTGACTAGTTTACAGGTTAAGAATGACATGGGATGACAGTGTGTCCACATTACCACATTGCCATTAACGCCAAATGCTAGGCTATACAGATAAATACATAAACACCTGAGTGATCAGACAGGGATCAGTGAATAGAGGTATATGCTAGACCCAAGGATAGACTCAGCTGAGGCTAATCCTGTATAGACACCAGGGATACAAAATACCTACAGTCCTTACAGAAACAATAGACGCCAGACACAGAATAATCTCTCACAGACATCTCAATACTATGGGAAAGAGATCCAATAGAGCTACTACCTCAGGACCATAGTACTGGGGTACACCAGATTCAACTGGCACAACAAAATACATAAAAGCATTGCTCCACATGCTACATTGGTGAGTAGTGACTGGGGTCTTAAAAGCTTTCAAGTGGCCATCTAGGATGTAGCTAATGGTCTCCTAGCATCCGAAGTGAAGAAGAATGCACACACACACAAAAAAAAGGGCATTTAGAAGCAATCGACCCTAGGACACAATGGCCCTCAAGACCAGAACCAGATGGTGCCCAGCTACCAGTGCCAGCCACTCAGGAAAGGATCAAATCTGGAGATCCTGGATAGAGTGGGAGGCAAAACGTGGAACAAAATCAAAAAACTCAATAATGACCAAAAATACTGCTCAGATGAAGTCTGGTGAGACTCCCAATACAATGGCCCTGAAACACATTCAGTGCCTGGAATAAAACTCATCCCCAGGGGCAGGCTCTTAGCCCAATGGTTGTTGTTGTTGTTGTTTGCCGTCGAGTCGGCCCCGACTCATAGCGACCCCTCCTTGGGTTTCCGAGGCAGTATCACTACGGAAGTAGGATTGCCCAACCTTCCTTCCGAGGAGTGGCTGGTGGGTTTGAACTGCAGCCTTCTGGTTAGCAGTCAAGTGCTTTTAGCCACTATGCTACCAGAGCTCCCTTAGTGAGATGTATATGCAGACCACTCAACCCAGGATGCTGCACCCACACACACAATGGTAATACATCCCCTAAAGCAATAAATCATGGGACACCAAAGGACCAACATTCAAACTGAGGAAATGCAGGACAAACAGGAGTGCATAATTATGAGGGGCACAGGGGGAGGGTTGCAGGGTAGGGAGGGGAGGAGACTAGGTTAGGGTTGGACATGGTGAATGGGGAATGAAACTAAATGTACACGTGACTTGGAATGTAAAACAAGCTCTTAAAAAAAAAAAAAAGACATGGGATGACATAAGCATACTCATTTAAACAGTAACTGAAGTTCATTTTGCCAGAATTAAACACTTTGATTTTAAAAAATCCTCTCTTGCATCTCTTACCTTGACTAAGACACCAGAACATCGTGGAAATAAAATGATGTTTAGATCCACAATATTATGATTTACAATAACTACATAAATAATTTTTATAAAACCAAAGATTTAAATTATATAGCATAATGTTAACTGAGTAGAAAGAAGAACTACCATTTATATTAATTTTGTTTTGGCTAATATTTATTTATTACATTAGAGTGTAGTAAAATATATTTTGTTAAGACTTAATAATTTAAACTTGTCAGAGTAGTAGGGCCCTAGAAAGAACTTTAAATTAAGAGCTCACGCCCCAGCCCACCCTACTGAAAAGAATAATTTTAAATGTTCTATAAGTTAACAATTTTTATTTATGTATATAATTTTGAAAATTCACTTAGTACAAAATTCAAAAGATATAAAAAAGAAAACAAAAGCCTCTGTCCCACCCTATCATCTAGCTTCCCCATAAAGGTAACTAGTGTTACCATTTTTGTTGAGTGTGTGACCAATTATTTTACGTATAGTGAAGTAAATTAGCATAAGTATTCTTCCCTGTTTATGTACAATAGCATGGACCATTTTGCACCTTTTTTTTTTAATGTTTAATTGGAAATAAAGTATTTTATTTTTTTCTAATACAGGTTTCTAATATTAGTGGTGGTTCATTTCAGTTTGGCAGACTTCTGTTGAGTGTTTACTTATGTCCTAGTACTTTGCTAGGCACTATAATGTATAAACACCCCCCCAAAAAAAAACCACTTCTATCTAGTTGATTGCCACTCATAGCGATAACCATTGGGTTTCTAAGGCGGTAAATCTTTATAGAAGTAGATTACTAACCTTCTTGTTAGCAATCAAATGCCTTGGGCACTGTGCCACCAGAGCTCCTTACTATAATAGGTTGTTGTTGTTGTTGTTATGTGCCGTCGAGTCAGCCCTGACTCATAGCGACCCCTCCTTGGATAGGTAGAGATAATATATAATATATAGAGATCAATAAATTATAAAGAGTCCTTCAGGAGAGCCACAGAGGATGTATGATCCAAATCTGTGCTTGTTCTTCCCTATATCATGTATTTCAGGACGCTATGTGAGCTTGGGGAGAAAGACGTGAGGGAAAGTTTAATTGAATAAGAAGCAGTTGAGTTAGACTTCTAAGTGTGAGGATGAGTAAGATGATGAACATAAACAATTAACAGTAATTACTAGACTTTGTGTTGATGTGGCAGTTTGCCAGTTAAAAATTGCTCAGCAAAAGCTGTCATGTTAATATATAAGCCAGCTTGCTCTTAAACAACTTTTTTTTTCCTAATTGTGTTGTTGGTACAGCTTTTAGAATTTGGTAGAGCATTTAAATAGCTAGTTAGAATTTGTTTTCAGGAATGCTGGCAAACATTCCAATACATGGATTGCATTTTTGTCTTAACAATAATTAGAACCATAATCAGGACAATAATCGACTGTTTGATTGTCCAGTTTCCAGCTGTTTAAACTGTAAGTCTTTTTGCATAGGCTAGTTCATTCTCCCAGAAAGAGGTTCTCTCCAGTCTCTTACAAAACTGGAATGGTGGGGAGAGCTGGTATGGTGGTTTGTGTATATGTGCTTTCTACGAAAAGGAGAAGAGTAGATAAAAGTACTGTCATAACTTTAAATAATATTTGAGGGGTATGTGTGTAAGAGGGAGCTCTGGTGGTGTAGTGCTTAAGGCATTTGACCGGTAACCAGAAGGCTGGCAGTTCAAACCCCCCACCAGCCACTCCTCAGAAGGAAGTAAGGAACTTCCATAGTGATACTGCCTTGGAAACCCAAGGAGGGGTTGCTATGAGTCGAATCTGCCTCAGTGGCAGTGAGTTTGGTTTGGTTTTGGTGTGTGACAAGATTTTGCTGCATTTTGGCTACATCTAGTTTATAAAATTATTCAAAATAAATATTTAGAAATTGCCAGCTATGCCATTGTGAATAACCAGTAAGCTAATAAATCAGTTCATCTAAAATTATTAAAGTGAAGTCTGATTTCAACTAAAACAAGAAGAAGAATGGTTAGATTCTACACTACCACACAGAATGTTTTCACATCTTCGAAAACCCAAGTAATTTCTCTTAAGTGTCTAGATAGTAAGGTCCCATTTTATTGAAAGATGAGACAGACTAAACATAAGGAAATTTTCAGCAGGTAATTTAAACCTCAATTGGTATGCTGTACGCAGACTTTTATTTATATGTGGGGTGGATTTATTAGGTCAGTGATATATAATATTGGAAATACAACCTGTAGATTATGAAACTATGAAATATGCTATGCTGGCAGTTTGAATAAGACCACTGAGACAGTTGCCCTAATGTATGTAGGGGTCGGGAAGGGTTTTTAAGAGGGAGTGACACTGAAGCAACCTGGGTCTTGAAAGATAAATAGGAATTTACCAAAGGTATAGAACATTGGAAAGGGAAAATATATTTCACAAAACAAAACTTTTATTGAATTTTTAATACTACTTTCTGTCCTGCAGGAGATGAAGGAACTATGCCTGCAGATATAGCCACATTATTAAAAACTTCAATGGGCCTGTGAAATTGTGAATTCCTAACAATGAGGAAATATCAACTTGGTGCACTCAAGGACATTTACAATATGATGACCATGGGGTTGTGAACATTTATAACTTTTTATAATTTCCATATTGCATTTCTCATAATATGGACAACTTTTTTGCCACTAACTGAATTCTTCAGATGCTCACACATGAGATTTCAAAAAAAGCCACAAATGTGTAGTCCTTAAGATGTTGAATAATCATTTTACAAAGCAGTTTTCTGAATGGGGATTAGTTGGTGATTGTTTGTAACAAATACGCTAATGCTTTAGAAATGTCAGTATTTTTGTAATTATTTCTACCTCCAAATATATATATATATTGTCTTTCACTGGATAATGTGTGTAGATTTTACATGTGCCTTATTTGACAATGCTTATGTCTTGTTTTTGCTTGTCTCATTTGAAGTTCTTTTTGATTATGTGAGTTTAAATAAGGCGGCTGTATAGATTATATCGCTTTAGTTTTATTGCTATTTGAAGCAGATGTTCACCACTGTCAACAAGAACTCAATCTGAATTTAAAGGTGGCAATCCATATACTAACATCCCCCAGGTCCTTTCAAATACTTCTGTTAAAATAAATTTGTTTGGCTAGGCACTAAGTTGTTTTCCAGTGAGTAGTTAACTAAAAAAGCCCTTATCTTGCTCCATGGTTTAATTCCTTCTGTTCATTTTCCATCTGCACTTATTGTGCTTAGTAGTCTGCCTATTCTATTATTGTGCATGTTTTCATTGATTTCTCTCTCCTGGCTTTTGCTTCTATTAAAACTGTTGCCCAGTCACTTCTGCTCCAGTTCTCTCTAACTAATAGCTTTTTCCTGTCACATATTCATGCGTCAGCATGGATGTTGGTGACATTTTTCTAGTTTGGCAGAACAGATTAAAGCAATTTCATTTTGAAGTAGACTGTATGTGACTTCATATTAAGACAGCATTAGGTACTGCATGGAAATAGGTCATTAACCTTAAACCCTTATCAAAATATAATTTCCAGTTTCCAGAATTTCCAATACAGGACCTCCTGAAGAGAGAGCCATTGTTCAATTCCAATTCAGTGTGGGTGACAAAGTGAAATTTAGAAGTAACGTTGTCTATTTGATATTTAACTCCTTATTAAGTCTTTCTTTAAATTTTTGCCTGTCAGTCTATATTGCTGTTTTTTATTATACATCAGTTTCTTTGTATAACTTGTGAGTTTCATGTGTTTTGTTTTTATTATGTAAATATCATTATAAATAAACTTATTTATAAATCAAAGTTTTGTTAGTTACTGGAGATCATCCCTTTCAAAGTCTCTTTCCATTGGACTTAGGAGGCAAAAGGAGTTCTTAAAGTAATTCTTGAGTATATTGAATAAACTTACTCCTCACTGATCAGCTATCTTCTTGTTGTCTAACATTTTACATTTTGCAAAATTTAAAAAAAAAAAACTGTTTTGAGCATTAACGACCTATGTTGGTGAATAACAAATGCCACAGTGCTAGGCAAGAGTAACACTGGCTGTGATAGTTAAGATTATGTCAACTTGGTTGAGCCATGATTGTCAGTGGCTTGGCACTTACGTAATGATGCAGTCATCTTCTGTGTTGTGATCTGATGTTGTCACCCTCCATTTTCACACAATTCCATTTTTCACATAATGACCTACACTTTGTAACCTAATCATGCTTATAAATGAGGAGTGGGTGTATACTGAATGTGTTTTAGTGCAGTAGAACTAGAAGGACCTGCAGATGTTACTGCTACTTCCTCCTATATCACAGTACCCAAATTACTCAAATTACTGGGAATACTTTAAAATTTCAGACTGAGTTTCTCATAGCTATTCTGTTTTAATGTATCTTCAGTGACAGGCTGTTTCTTTTGTTGCTGTTCAATCCATGTTTTTATCTCTAACGAAATGTAGTTGAGCTCTCCCTATAATACTTAATATGTCTTGGGCTTAGTAAAAATTTTGTGATCATAAGTTTTTCTCCCCCCTTACACACACACACTCTCTAATAGTTTCCAGCCTCTCTCCCTTCACCTTTAAAAAATACAATTGAGCACAAATGAGATCAGATTATTTGCTCAATATTGTCTGTTTCTAAGTAAACTGGGATTCATTACTTAGGATTTATTTTCATTAGTCCCTTCATTGAGCTGATTTCAATAAAGTCATCAGTAAAAACAGCAAATAAAGCCATAGTTCTCAGAGTAATAGCTTAACTAACCGAAGCAATATTTTTACATGTTTTAATAACTTTCTGACTCCATAAACCTGCAGCCTTATGCCAGCAGATAATTATACTCAGACCCTAACTAGGCTGTTGTTTCAGGCACTTAGTATATCGTGATGTATCACAGAGAAATTGGAGTATCAGAAGACTGTGTGTGTGATCTTAAGCACGACATTTAACCCATCCATATTGGGTATTTTAACTCTTCCCAATATGGTTCGTTTTTTATTATAAATGTGATATACAATTAAATTTCCACTCCAATTATCATTCTCTTTCTTTTGCATTCCTCTCTCTTTCTGCCTAAGCAAGGAGACATTTAATTTGGGTACAGGCTAGGATAATGGAAGGTGTTCTCCTTCAGTGCAAAATGATGATTTAAAGGTTATATCAGTGTGGTGATTGAAATGAAATATTTCCTATGACGCATGTTGCATTTACATTCTAATAATGGTTTATGTAAATAAGTGGACCTGATTACTTTGAATTTTTCATAATTTTGGATAAGCATTGTAGTTCATTTTTAGTAATTTTTCTTTTCATTAAAGCTTGTCAGAATATAAGTATGTAGAGGGAAGTGGGCATGTATAATAGGAAAAATTACTACCTTCATTATTTGAATTTTTTTGTGAAAGCTTATTTTTTTCTTTTGACTACCTTGATGATGTGGTAAGAATACTTTTCAATGAGATTCACTTATAACCAGTATTAACGACCACTTAAGGCAAGATGATTTAATCCAAACAAACAGAGTACTTAGGAAACACACTTTGATTTTATGTATAATCCTTAGTAATTTGTAAAAACTATTTAACGTTTTTTTCCATTTCATAAAACATTGACAGGAGCACCTTCTGCAAGGTCATACTTAGCTGGCATTTTCTTTTTTCCTTTCCTTCCTCCTCTACCACACCCCTCATCTTGGCTTTCAGCTCAGCACTGCTTTACAAGTAGAAGGCTATCTCCAAAATGACATGATGTACTGAGATTAGACAATCGAAAATTAACATATAAATTTAACAAAAATTTTATGTTCCAGTCATATATGGTCTAAAATATGGGGCCAAGAGAGGAGGGGCTCATCTGAATATTTATTTATTTGGAAGATTTCTATTTAAATGGCTTGTTTATCCAGCCCATTCTTGATTTCCATGGTAATATAGAACCATAACTATGACTGCACTCAAATTGTACAAAGCAGTCTTACTAAATATGGGAATATTTATGATTCTTCTGTGACCTTTAAAAACTTGTCAAAGCATTATAAACTTTCTTACTGTTGGTTATAAATGTCTTAAGTAAATGAAGAGCTAGCAAAGCTAATATTTCCATAAAACCCACTGCTATCAAGTGAATTCCCACTCACAGCAACCCTATAGGACAGAGTAGATCAGCCCCTTAGGGTTTCCAAGGTTGTAAGGATTTATATACAGGCAGACTGCCTCATCTCTCTCCCACAGAGCGGTTGGTGGGTTCAAATTGATGACCTTTGGTTCACAGCCGAATGCTTTAACCACTGTGCCACCGGAGTTCCTTAATATTTGTGTGGTACACTGTAAAATAATACTAGAAACACTGAGAATTTCAGTGATGGTTCCTCTTTAAATCTTATCAAGAGTAGCTTGAACAGTAAGTGCCCTTCTCTATATAACTTAACTGTATGCTTTAGTGAATTATCATACTCTTTCAGAGATTAAATTCTTCCAGCATTTTATCCTTTGCTCTTCCGTCTTGTAGGAGTTCTCTGTTCCTTTAATGTGAAGTTTTTGCAAGTACTGCCGCCGCCTCAGAGACATTCTCTCAGGTATCTTCATTTTTTTTTTTTGTCACAACCACTTTCCGCATTTATGTTGGTAAGTTTGCCTTCACTGAGTTCTGCTGTATATCTAAAAGCCCTTGAGTGGCTGCAGTTTCAACATTCCCACAGTCAGCTATTCTCGTTATGTGCCGTCGAGTCGGCCCTGACTCATAGCAACTCCTCCTTGGGTTTCCGAGGCAGTATCACTACGGAAGTAGGATTGCCCAACCTTCCTTCCGAGGAGTGGCTGGTGGATTTGAACCTCCAGCCTTCTGGTTAGCAGTCAAGTGCTTTAGCCACTATGCTACCAGAGCTGCTATTCTCTAACTCCTGTTTTTGTTCAATTTGAATTTCGCACCAGCATTATCACTTTTTGTTTCTTTGTTGCATTTTCATCTTTGTTGGCAGTTCCCTCTCTATTATCCATTTCTGTAAGTATTTAATGGGTTTATCATTGGGAAGCAGTGAGGCAACACAACTACATGATTTACTGTCAGTGCATGAGTGACAGTTGTTCAGTGACCAATCACTGACAGACTGACAGAAGTGCCATGATTAGTCACTGGTGATAGTATGTATCTGATACTCACATAGTGATTTGTGGACTAAAGAGATAGCAGCAAAATTAGTACTTTATGCAATTGCAGTAATTACTGTGGTAATTGAAATCTGAACCATACTATGGGGGAACTGGTAACTAAAATTCATACATGTTAGAACCAGTGCAGAGTGAGGCCTGTGTGCTTTGTATTCTCTTTCATAAATCATGTGAAGCTATTCTGAAAAAAGATGAAACTAAATGCTCTTTTTTGTTTGTTTTTAAGCAGATTATGGCAAAAGTGAAAGTGCTGAAAGAACCCGTGGGGAAAGTGTGTGGATTATCTGGCAGGCTAGTGTAGCTGTCTTACGTGGTTGGAGTAATAATGCTGTGAAGAACGAGGAAGTTGAAGGTGGCATGCATCACCTAGAGTTTGGTTTGGGGCCTCCGTTGTATCCAGTCAGCGATGGCAGGAATGGCTTGGACTTTGTTTTGTAAAGTCACTAGCCTGGGATGGATGTCCAGCAAGTCAGGTTTAAAAACCAAAAGCGTAGTACTGCAAATATCCCAATAGAAATCTGCCCAAGTTACCTAGTTAAAGGGGGGGGGGGTGTGGAGAAAAAGAACAACTTTTCATTTGAATATAAAAAGCACAACTTTGTCAGCATTCCAAAATTAAACTTTTCTTAATCTGTAAAATAGTTTACTTTTAATTCAAAACAGTCTTTTACTACAACAGCAGAATTTGTGTATTATAAAAAAATGGAAAAAACACCTGTAACATCACACTCCCATAACCCAGTTTATTGCTGTTAACATCTCAATGTATATTTTTCTGTGTGTGTATGTATTGTAATATGTATGTATTTAGAGAGAGATGCTTTTGTAAACTTTTTATTGTGATTTGGGTGAAATTTTACAAATTGGATTCATTTTACATTCAGCAGTTCGTACACATTTTGTTTTGTGACACTGATTGTATTCCTGGCAATGTAACAGCTCGAATCCTATTTCGTCCCTGTGGTTACCCTTTCCCTGCGTCCTTATCTATGCATTCCTGCCTCCCCCCCTTTATCCCTGTGCAAATGCTGCCCTCTTGATCTCCGTGCTTGATTGTTCTAAGGAGTGCATCTGCCTGGTGTAGGTGTTCAGCTGGTAAGCCTGGGTATTGTTTGGCTAAGAGTTAAGCCACAGGAGTGAGTTCAGTTCCGGACCTGAAGGGTGACAAAGGGCCAGATAAGCTTTTTTTTTTTTTAAATGAAGTGAGACTTTACTCTCTATATTCTTTTGTAACCTCTAATTTCCACATCTCTAGAAATATAGTTTCATTTTATCTAATAATCCTTACTTTTCCATCTGTTCCAAAAATGTCCTTTCCAGGGCAAAGAAGGATCCAGTCCAGGACCATGCATTTCATCTGGACATTTGTCCTTTAATTCTCTTAATCCCTGCTCTTGTGCTGCAGAATGTCCTATCTTTAGGATTTGTGTGATTACTCATCTTGTTTACCTTGCTACTTTATATGGGAACAGAGTGGAAGTTTTATCCAAAGATTGATAGATTCAAGTTAAGGACTTTAGGCTAAGTTACATTATATTGTATCACATTACTCACTGCCATCAAGTCGGATTCGACTCATAGTGACCCCTCCGTGGGTTTCCAAGACGGTATCACTACGGAAGTACATTGTCCCATCTTCCTTCCAAGGAGTGGCTGGTGGGTTTGAACCGCCAGCCTTCTGATTAGCAGTCAAATGCCTTAGGCACTATGCTACCAGAGCTCCTTTGTGTCATATTAAGAGACATAATATATGGCTGCTTGACCATTATTAAGAGCTCTGGTGGCATAGTGCTTAAGGCAATTGACTGCTAACCAGAAGGCTGGCAGTTCAAACATTATTAGTGGGATGCCAAGATTGACCACTGGTTTAGACTGTGATCCCACCACCCTCCTTGTGCAGTTGTGTGTTTTTTTCCTTTGTGACTAGAAACTAATTTATATGTTATTTGATTCCAGATGAATATAAATATTTATATTTTATATTTATAAAACCTAGAAGAAATTTAAAAGTAGACTATTGGTTTTCTTTTTGTATGGAGCTTAATAAAGCTTACTGCTGTTATTTCATGAACTTGCTTCCTAAAATCTGTCAGCAACAGAGGCTGTTGGTTACAGGATTCAGAGTTCAGTCACAAATATTTTTTTAGCCCTTACTGTATGCCATGTACAGTTCTAGGTTCTAAGCATTCATTGAAGATTAAGATGTGATGCAAGGTCCTTCTCATGCAACTTTTATTTTAGAAGGGGGAAGACAGGGAAAGACAAATCTGTAAGCTGATAGGTGCTATGATGAAAAAAAAAAGACTGATGAGAGAGAATATTTTTCCAAGGAGCTCTGGTTTCTTTTACTTTTTAGAAGACCAGAATCTGGGTGTTAGGAATGCTCAGTACTACTGGGTTGGTCATCGATTCAATACAGAGACGTGACATGTTTTTTTCTTTATTCAAAAAAAAAAAAAAGTTACTACCACTTGTCTGTCAGTTTGCTGAACTGTGATGGCTTATATGATACTGGAAGCCAAGCCACCAGTATTTCAAATACCAGCAGGACTCACCCATGGTGGACATCTTTCTGTGGAGCTTCTAGACAAAGCAGATAAAGAAGGAGGACCTGGCAGTGTACTTCTAAAAAAGTGGCCAGTGAAAGCCTTAGGAATAGCAGCAGAACATTGACACAGTGCTCAAGGGTGAGTCCTTCAGGTTGGAAGATACTCGGTGAACGACTGGGTAAGAGTTGCCTCCTCAGAGTATAGTAACATGGATGGTGTAAAACTTTCAGGACCTTCACTTGCTGAGGTGTCTTGATTAAAAAGGAGGCAAAACACTTACTAATATTCAGAATGTGGAATGTATGAAATGTAAATCTAAGAAAATTGGAAGTTATCAAAAATGATACACTTGAAGATCAATATTCTAGGCATTAATGTGCTAAAATCAACGTGTATTGGCCATTTTGTTTCAGACAGTCATATAGCCATCTATGCCAGGAATGACATTAAAGAGAAATGGTGTCACATTCCTTATCAAAAAGATAATTTCAAGATCTATCCTGAAGTACAACATTGTCAGTGATAGTATAATATCCGTATGCCTACAAGGAAGAACAGTTACATCAGCTTTCTAAACTATGAATACCTTCCTATGGGTAACATTTTTTTCCCAATAATTTTGTATAAGTTTTGGTTATCCTTTTATTAAAAAACATTTGCTCATATTTTTTAAAATGTAGAAATACGGAGTTACCAACAAGCCATTCTTTTTCTCATAAATATTGTCTAAATCTTGCAGAAGATGAGGTGAAGAACTAGCAAAGCTAATACTTGCATAAAACCCACTGCCATCAAGTGAATTCCCACTCATAGCAACCCTATAGGACAGAGTAGATCTGCCTGTTAAGGTTTCCAAGGTTATAAGTATTTACACAGGCAGACTGCCTCATCTTTCTCCCTCAGAGCGGCTGGTGGGTTCAAACTGATGACCTTTCAGTTCACAGCCAAATGCTTTAACCACTGTGCCACCAGAGTTCCTTAAAATTTGTTTGGTACACGGTAAAGTAATACTAGAAACACTGAGAATTTCAATGATGGTTCCTTTTTAAATCTTATCAAGAGTAGTTTGAACAGTAATTGCCCTTCTCTATAGTGAATTGTCATACTCTTTCTGAGGTTAAATTCACCCAGCATTTTATCCTTTGCTCTTCAGTGTTATGGAAGTTCTCTGTTCCTTTAATGTGAAGTTTTTGCAAGTGCTGCTGCCTCTGAGCCATTCTCTGGGGTATCATCATTTTTTCCTTTTTTTTTTTTTCAGTCACAACCACTTTCCTCATTTATGTTGTTAGGTTTGCCTTCACTAAGTTCTGCTGTATATCTAGAAACCCTAGAGTGGCTGCAGTTTCAACATTCCCACAGTCAGCTATTTCTTCTCTAACTCTTGTTTTTGTTCAATTTGAATTTCACACCAGCATTATCACTTTTTGTTTCTTTGTTGGCAGTTCCCTCTGTTTATTATCCTATTTTTCCCCAATAATTTTCTAAAAGTTTTTGTTATCCTTTATTTAAAACATTTGCTCATATTTTTTTAATTGTAGAAATACTCACAGAGTTACCAACAAACCACTCTTTTTCTCCTAAATATATGTCCAAGTCTTGCAGAAGATTAGGTGCATCATGTGTGAGCAGCTCATTAAACATCTTATCCTAGAATAAGGAGAAAAACATACCCTTTAAGAATAATAGGAGATTCTCATGGAATCCAGACTTTCTGGAGACATTGAAGCTAGATGAAACCCTGAAACAATTGCCCTGGGATAGTCTTTGCCCTGAGATATCTTTAAATCTTAAACTAAAAATATCCACTCAATTCTTAAAATGAAACAATATCTTCACTAAATAAAAAATGTCAGACTTTTCTAGTCTGAAGTACAGGGAATTGTGTGCATGCCTGAGCCTATGGGTGGTGTCCATTGACTTAGACCTTGGGGCTAGGGATGAGAAAGAGAAGGAAAGGCTGTGAATGGCAGGGAGGTATGTGGATTCCCAAGCTCATGGCTAGTACCCATTGACTTAACTTGGATGGCGAGGGATGAGGTGACCCAACCAAATGGAAAGATGTTTGACACTGTAAGCTGGTGTAAATTGCTATTTGATGGCTTGCTGTGGACTGGACTTTGTTTATGAATGCAGATGCTCAGAGTTTCAACCAGAGCAGAAGATTCTTCAGAGAAAAGAACATGCGTGTCTCTTCAGAGTACTAGTTTGATAGGGATGGGCAATTTAGAAATTGGTTATCTGAAATGGGGGGATACAAAGGCATGAAGTGGCTGGCTTACATGCTCTCACGAGTGTGCTTAGGCTCAAGATGGGAGACAAAGGAGGATCCTTACTAAATAGTTTCCTCTTTTTCTGATGGGTCTTGGGAAGAGAAGACGTGGAAAATGCTGATAGGATTGTATGATTCAGTTGTGAGTGTTGATTGTTAACAAGGTTAACTGTAACTGTGAAAACTGTAGTTTTAAAAGCTGTAACTAAAAGAGTAGACTAAGGGGGAGGCACTGCTGACTGGAGTACAGTGGCCAAACCTAAGGTTGCTATGCTGACCTCAGGCCCAGAGCAAGGGAATAATCTTCTCTCTGTTAATTTTATCAGAGGCCAGAAAAGGTGAAGCCAAGATGACTTTTAGAGACTCTGATCAGATCACATGGACACATGCTGAAGACCTGAATGGCTGGTACCTGAGTAAACTCACCCTGAAGAACTAATTGTTGATGATTGTTTTGGACTAGTAAAATGAGTGGGAGGAGGAAGTTAATCCTTCAAGCATGAAAGGGCCAGTGGCTAGAAGATCCCGGGGGTGACCTGCAGTGCAGTGAATTGCTTAGTCTGACCCATGAAGACGTGATCTTTGTGACTCCCACCAGATGACTGGATGGGACTATGTAAATGGGAGGTGCTCTGGCCCACCCACGGAATTAGATAGCTTATTAATAATGTAATAAGGTGCATGACATGCTTGTGGGGGTGGGATCATGCACATAAGGTATATGAAACTCTAGTGTGGGAATTGGTCAGTTTTGCTATCCCAGTAGGCTTAAAATGAGCCATCCCAGAGGTGGAAAGTGGTGAATCTCACTACCATCTACAACGAAGAGACAGGAGTAGAGTGTGTCCTTTTACCCAAGATCCTTGTGCTGAACCTCCTTGACCCAGGAGACAGACCTGTAGCACTTTGCTAAAATGGCGAGATGGTGAGAAGCAGCAGCAGGGAAACTGCTGGAGACAGCACAGGGGCTTCTAGCCCTTAGACTGAGAAAGCTGAGTGCCTTTAGGCAGGAGGCTTGCTAGTGGAGCAGGGCGCCTCTAGTCATTTATCCATGGAACTCGGAAGGAAGGTTGGGCAATCCTACTTCCGTAGTGATACTGCCTCTGAAACCCAAGGAGGGGTCACTATGAGTCGGGGCCAACTCCACGGCAAACAACAACAACAACAACAACAACAGGCTTGCTGATCCACTAATCTAGAAAGCCGAGTGCCTTCAGGCAGAATGACACTTCAGGCTTACTGGTAGAATAGGGTGCCTCAGAGCACTTACCAGCAGAACTAAAAGAGCTTTGTTATATGTTACACGTGGCAGAGAAGGACAAAGGCCAAGGGTCCACAGAACCAAGAGGCTGAGGGCCAGAAAGAGGCATGCCTGCAAGTACTGCTGAGAAAAGATGGTCCTCATGAAAGAACTATATCCTGAGTCGTCTCTGATCCTGAATTTTAACCTGTTACTTCCCTAATAAGCCCCATAATTGCAGAAGAGAAGGACATGCAGCTGGCAGTCAAAATCAAAGAGACACCAGCAAACAAACCAAACACAGATGGTGAGGTTCACAGAAGTCTGAGATTTGCCAAAGAAGACTCAGTGGGAAGGTTGTCTAACACCTAAAGCCACGCAGGAGGTTTAACTCGAAAGCTGCTCACACGGCAACTAGGAACCTCAGCTTTTGCTTTCACAAAAAGGACATCCAAGATGGAGGGGCACCTTGTTTGTCTCCCCATTCTGCCCTACACAGTCTAGCAGGATGTTCAATGAGAATCAGTCTCTCTTGGTTCACTACAACCACTTCTCACTTTCTTGGAATTCAGCTCCTTGACACTAGGCATGTTCCCTGTACTGGAGGGCTGAAAGATGCAAACCTGCTTCTGCTCCCCATTCTCCCTGTCTTGCCCTCACGGTGAAAAGAACAGGAACCTGAAATCTCTTTTCTTAGCCTGTTGTTTTTGTTGTAAAGTTGTTGAGTCAATTATGACTTATAGTGACCCCATATGACCCCATATGACAGACTAGAACTGCCCCATAGGGTTTTCTTGGCTGTATCTTTACAGGAGCAGATTAACAGATCTTTCTCCCACAAAGCCCCTGGCTGGGTTCAAACCACCACCTTTAGCAGCTGAACACTTCACCATTTGCTCCACCAGGGCTTCTTTTCTTAGACTAGCCCCCTAACGTTAAGTAATATAACTGGAGGAAAATAATTTTATTTTGGAAGGCTGGATTTGTCCAGTTTTGCATTTCTTCATTTCACCCCTGCACTGAATGGCTATAATCAATACTGGATCACTCTGTCCTTCGTTGTTACAGATCTTTCTGTAACCTACAGAGACAGATGCTCTCCACTGTGCCTTGGTGTGAGATTTGTTTTGAATATCATCTACAGAATCCTTAATTCAGATGTCCCTTGTGATATATTACTTAAACTGATACTGCAAAAAAAAAAAAATAATTAATATTGTTAACAGAAAAGAAAAATTAATAGCTATATCATTTTTTTTTAATTGTCCTCATGGACAATTTTTCCTTGAAGCTTTGAAGACTTCTTTCTCAATAAGAAGTGTTTGTTTCTATATGAAAATTTTGGCTAGTTTTGTATCTCATAAAATTTAAGCCAAATTTAAAAATATTATAAAATATGTGCATATCACTTACTAATGTTCACAAGTGACCTATAAGAAAATCTAGCTTTTATTAAAGTAAGTCAAATAATGAATAATTACCTCACCAATTTGCTGATTTACTTCCTGCTTGCCTGCTAACCAGACGGCTGGCGGTTCAAACCCACCAGCCACTCCTCGGAAGGAAGGTTGGGCAATCCTACTTCCGTAGTGATACTGCCTTGGAAACCCAAGGAGGGGTCGCTATGAGTCGGGTTTGACTCAACGGCACATAACAACAACAACAACATGATTATAACAGGGAGCTCTGGTAGCGTAGTGCTTAAGGCACTTGACTGCTAACCAGAATGCTGGCAGTTCAAACCCACCAGCCACTCCTCAGAAGGAAGATGGGGCAATCTACTTCCATAGTGATACTGCCTCGGAAACCCAAGAAAGGGTCGCTATGAGTCGGGTCCAACTCGACGACACATAACAACAACAACAACAACAACAATGATTATAACATAAGGAGCTCTGGTGGTATAGTGGCTGCTAGGTAAGACATTTGGCTGCTAACCAAAAAGTTGGTGGTTTGAACCCACCAGCCACTCCATGGAAGAAAGATCAGGCAGTCTGCTTCCATAAAGATTTACAGCCTTGGAAAATGTATATTCATATAATGCCTTATACTTGTAGGCACAGTTTGCAAAAGCATGGTTACATATTTACATGTATTTGCCAGATTTTACAAACTGGATGTTAGAAAGTTTGTTGTTATTTTGACTTTATGTTCTGTCCCATTTTATACCACCTTTGTAGATGAGATGCTCTATGATTGACATGTTCAAAGTTTTAAATAAAGTGTTTTTGTGAGTCCTTGTAGCCCTCATAGAACTTGTGAGTTGAGGGACACTAGGACCAGGACCACAACTGAGGTCAGCTCAGCATCAGTCAGAATGATAATGACCAACTTGGGTCTGCTGTAGGGCAGCTAGAACAGGAGTGAGCTGAGCAGAATAGGGTGTGACTGCTGAAAAGCTTTCCAAGAACTCCCGAGTAATTCTGTACTTGGTCTAATGTAAATGTCCACAGCTTCAGGTACACCAATGCTGTGTATATGCAGTGCCAGATAAAAATTTCATAATACCAGGGCTATGACTTTTCCTTTAGAACAGGTTCTTTTTACACATTAGGTGAATCATCTCAGTTTAATGAAATGACAGTTAGTAAATAGAGTAGTTATTGTTATTTAATTTAATTTTCTATACCCATCTGTCAGTTTGTCATATTATGGTGGTTTTCATATTGTTGTTAATGCTAGAAGCTATGCCACCAGTATTTCAAATACCAGCAGGGTCACTTATTGTGTATAGGTTTTGAGGAAGCTTCCACACTAAGACAGACTAGGAAAAAAGGCCTGGCAATCTACTGAAAAACAGCCAAGGAAAACCAAACAGATCACAACAGAATATTGTTCCCTGTAGGCTGAAAGATGTCCACAACGACATATTGAAACACGCCAATGATCATGAAGATGGCACGGACCTCAGCAGAGTTTAGATCAGTTGTACATGGGTCGCCATCAGTCAGAGCCAACTCAAAGGCACTAACAGCAACAAACATTAATTAGAAAGAAAATTCACCACATAATATAAAGAAAATGAATTTTCTTATTTTTTCCATATGTATACTTTAAAAATACATTTCCTGATAAATCCTAGACAATTATTCTTTACCTGGTAGACTCAGAAATTTCCAAACTTCCCTTTCAGAGAAT